TTAGTAGATATATTGTTCCAGTAATAAATAATAAAGTAAAAGATTTCCAATTTTGACTTTATAATCCAAAACCGGCAAAATTAACCTGAAGGGACTTTGTTAGAGGTACCGATGAAACGAATGGGCTGACATGGGTTGCCGTTTACAGAATTAGTCCTTTTAGGACTAGAACAGAAGAAGAATAGTCGTTTTGATCTCGTATGCGGTTGGCTGTATGAATACACCAATGATCAATGCTGTTAACAAACCAAGCAGGCAACTCGAGTTGATTAATTAAACATCAATACTGTGTGGTGGTGAATGCCTTCTCCTTCCTCAACTTTTACTACCCTATTCGCAATCTCTTATACCATTACCAACAATATTACTTCTACTTGTACACACGCAAGATATCTACTCCACTTTGCAAGGATTTTACTAAATTTAAAACAAGGGTTATACTGGGTGACCGTTCAAATGATTTGACTAGAAAAAAAAACCTTTGTTGCATAGCCCCATATTTTGGCATTTTGGCCAATTTTACCCTGTAACTTTTTCGATTAAAGACATATTTTACATAACTGTTATACAACCTTTTTTTCTATTTTTGGATATTCTGTATGGGAAATGAAATTTGGACAACACAGATGATTAAATGTAAAATGCAATGAGGATATTGCGTACTTTTGGGGCCATCCAAATTTAAATGATGGTGGTTCTTCCACACCGTTGCCTATGATCGAATTTTGACATTTAAAGGCATCTAATATGTCACAAAATTGGTGATTTGTAATTTAAAATTTCTATTAAAGTACAACATTCAGGATATCGAAAGAAAACTAAAATAACATTCTTCAGAGTAGTTTAATAGCCGAAATAATTGTCAGGGCCATTTTAAATTTTCTGAAACAATGTATTGTCTTGAATTCAAGTTAAAACATAACAAATAATTATAAACAAAATACCCTTGTTGATCTTTTCAGGTTCGTAATTATATTAAAATCTTTCTACTTATTAATAAGTTTCCCTTTTTTATTATCAAATAGAAACTATCTTGTCCAATACACTTAAAGAATAATACAAAAAAATACGTTTCAACGTTAATAAGCTATCAAAAAAAATATTTTTTGTATCTTAAACAGGGTGTCTAGTAATTGTTTGAAAAACCGGTAATTTTAATACTATGCTTCCAATTGACCACAGTGCAAATTTCGTTGGTTTATTATAGTAAAATGGGTTAGAAAACAAGGAAATGTATTTAATTGAAGTTGAAAATTCAAATAAGTATAACTTTCTGAATATACTTTACAATTTAAAAAGTACACAGTAACTGCGCTTACTCCATATTTAAAAACTAATAAACAGTTAATGATTTTCTGGACACTTTGTATATTGCAAAGGTACATGGGAGACAAAAAAGTTTTAAAGAAAATTGAATAGGTATTTTCGTTGACTAACAAAATTTGTAACATAGTAAAATAGGGTACAAGGGTTTATTTACAGAGTATGTTAGGAGCGCCCGGCTCTGTAAGGGTGTGAAACGTGAACGGTGTATGCTGCAGAAAAAAGTTGGAGATGTTGGTGTTGGAAATGTTGGGATGCTATTTTTGTTAAACCCACCTTTAGTAACTTCTACTATCTAAGGACATGATGTTAGATAATCTAAGTATACTTCGTTTATTTTTTGTGGCGATGTGACCTTCAGTTTGACCGGCGCAAAGTAGAAAAGAACAGCATTAGGTCAGAGAAAGAAGGAGACAACTCTCGGCCAAACTCTTAACCGATGAGGAGCGTATAATCCGTACAGTACTGCACAGAAAAATTGATCATTTTATCCACTACAATTGCATTGCTCAAATGTGCTGTTATTGGTACCATTATTTACTGCTGAAAATATCAACGAAATGTTTATTTATATTTGAAGACATAGCTTTAACGCTTGGTTTCGACTCGCACCACTACTCATGATTGAATAAAATTTTTGGCAGGTACTGTATGAAAAAGTATGTTTAATGAACAAGAATCGAGAATATAATGAGTTTTTTTCTCCCTACATACAATTTTGCCAGTGCGCATCCTAAACATTGGAAGGGGCAAATCGCTAAAGAAAGTAAATGAAGTATACTTCGTTAATGTTGTCTTTTCCTACCGTAACATTATGATCCTAATGTGAATTTCAAAGAAAAAAAAATTTCATCTAAGTTTGTACCTACTATAAAAATTTAAAACGAATGTAAAGTCTGAAATAGAATTAGTTACTTAAAGTTAAATTAATTTGAAATGTAGAGACAGAAAAATTAAGAAATTTGTAAAGGCATTCGCAGACAATTGGTGAAAATGTAGGTTCGAGTTGCTACCCAACGTTTCGCTAGCAGTGTCGGGCTTCTTCAGTTGTCCTTCCATTTCTGATGCTGGATGTGGACTGTCCACGATCAGCACGAGTTCAGAAAAAATAACAATGAATGAGGATGTGTCAGCGGTAAATTATGCTTTATTTTGATGCACATTAGTTGTCGGATTCACGGTGATGTGAAGCACGGTAAAAGATGGTGCGAATGACGCGTTTAGATCGTTTCTAAACGAGATTTTCATTAAATGTTGCAGTGTTTGAAATAAACCGCCTTGAAGCTTGCTGCAGACTAATCTAACATAAGAGTAATTAAAGCACTTTGGAGTTGCCAATCTTTAAAAATTACTTTAAAGAAGCGAAAAAGCTGCAGGCGGAGATGCTCTTTATTCACGACTAGCTGCCCTGAATGCGATGTGGTTCTTTTTTCCATCAGTAAAAAAGAAATAGCGCAAGAAGACCGAACTACAATTTACTTCCCATTTTCAATTCAATTCGTTGTTTTAATTCGTCGAACTCGAACCCTGTTTACAAACTAACGAATGGCCTTTGCAAAAATTCTCGTTCAGGATAACAGGTCAAGCAAAAAAGCGGACGAAACCGCCGCTACTAAAATTAAACAACGATAAAAAGATTCGCGTCTTTTTAGCAAAGTAGCAACCGATTCAGATTTTCAATTTTCATCAAATATATGCAGAAGATGAAGAAGACGAGGAAACTGTATCTATATATACAATCTTTCATGATTTAAGATCGTTATGTCAGTGGATAAAGCAATGACGTAAGCAAGCAACAGTGTGTTACGACGATTTCTTTTGTTTGTTTTATTTTTGACATGAATTACCTTATTGTTCATTTTATTACTAATAATAACAAACTATATATAAAGAAATGTTCTAGAATCGGTTTTCTTATAGTATTTGTACAAGAATTAAAAATATGGTTTTGACTATTGGGATCCGTCAAATGGGCATACACCATCTGGTGGAAAAATTTATAACTCGAATGAGGGAAAAATTTACTTACATAGGAACTGTGCACGCAAATTGTAAAATTGTTTATTAAAATAATAAAACACGTTAAAAAAGTAAAAATTTTTTTAATGATGGAGTCGACGAAGTTTTCTTCTAAAGTTAAATCAAATAAAAAGTTAATATGTTCAGTGAAAAGCTGCAATAGCACTTCAGACATAGATCTTCACTCTTCACCTACATTAACTACTTTCCAATAAAAACTAACCGTTTTATATATGTAAAAAATATATTCGGAAAATTAGAGAAAAAAGTAAACTAATAGAAGCTTGGATGAAAGCAGTAGGTATCAAAGAAGTGAATTCCGGAATAAAAATTTGTTCACGTCATTTTAATGCACATGATTATATTTCAGCAAGTATTTACCATCAGCCATAACCTTAATATTTAAAACTAGAATCATACTAAAATTATAAAGTGAGAAATTATTTATTCCTGTGTAATTGATTTAACACAATTCTAATGATACGATATAAGTATTTTGAGGTTAAGAACCTACCTGCTGCAATACAACAAAGTTGCAATAATGTGTTTGCAACGTTCTCTTAAATCGGCTTTGCACGTGCAAGTCATTGATATGATATTGCTTAAATCACCCAGAATCACCTCACCAATTATATAACGTGAATCACTTTTTAAATCCGAAGTTTGTAAAAAGTAGGCAGTAAACTTGACGGAATTTGAAGGCTAGCTTCCGGATTTGTTATTTCCGAATTTTATAATGTGATTGGCATTAAAAACACGCTCACCTTCAACGAAATTTCCTTTCCGAGGCTTTGTGTCAGCCCAATCACATATTGTGTCAATACTTATCATTTTATAGTAATTTAAAAACTTGGAAATTGCACGGTACACTATGGGAATTGCGATAAATTTTCCCTAATCGGCGCCATGTTTTTAGGCTCCTCCTATTTGACGGATCCCAATAGCGGTCAACGTCAAGCAAATCTATTGTTTTATTAATAAATCTATTATGGTGTTCTTTAATTCTAGTTTTGAACGGTCTCTCAGTCTGGCCGATGCGACGAAAACTTTACACTCCAAACAATTTCAGTTACGTACTCCTGACCTCAATCTTTTAGGGGTTATATATTCATTATTAAGTACCTATACTAGTATATAGATAACTATACGAATACTTAGTGTAAAACCTTTAAAGAACTGAAATTAAGATTATACAGTTTAAGTTGTAATAAGGTTTACGTCGGCCAGAGTTGTAGACCGTTCAAAACTAGAATCAAAGAACACCATAATATTTTAATTAATAAAATAAATTATATTCAGCTTAAACTGTACATTTAAACAATCAAAAACGTAATTTTAATCCAGATTATGTCCACTAATAATTAAAGTTTGTAACTATATTTGATTTGAATCTAAATCAACAGATATTTTAAACAGATCGCTAAAATTTTCTATTATTAAATGTAGGTACCTACTCTAGTTTGCATTTAAATCATTATCATTCTCTACCCCCTTTTATGAATTTGTGACTACATGATTAGTATAAATAAGGCTGTAATTAGGTTTAATTTGCTAATTATTACAAGATAAAACCACTGTGTGGTGAAATAATTATTGTTGTGGTTTTATAACAAAATTTTAGTGGGATATAGTTACATTACGAATAAAGAAATGTTTATTTGTTAGTATTTAATAAAAATTATCACCTTTGGTATTGTTACAATTTGATAAAAATTAAATGACCGTAATTTTATATAAAGCTAACATTTAAAAAGCGTGGTATTTATTTAAGAAATGGATTAATTATGTTACTTTCAAACCAGGTCCAGTTAAATCGCAGATGGTCCGAATTAATGGAAATAAAATGCATTCGTTGATTCTCATACAGATATTTAAGTCCAAGCCGGTCCTGTAAATAATTTAATTAAATATTAAAAGCTCTATATTATATACAAAGTTATTAGCATTTACAGTCTCTTCGTCGTCTTTATAACCAGTTAACGGTTTCAATTTTGTATTTCATAATAAAAGTATGCCGTTGCATTTCATTTACACTTTGTTTTTTTCTATACGTCAGTCATTGCGGGTTCTTTTTGTCGTGTATAAATTTTCAATCAGCGTTGTAATCCATTAGTTATATTATTCGCCAGTTGTTTAAGTAAGCAAAACCTCCGCGATGCACTGCTGTCATCAGTAAGCAGTATTAGCAGTAAAAAGCTAAAGCGAAAGACAAGGAAATCTTTTTTTATCATAATATAAAAGAAGTGCTTAGGTGCGCGGTATATAAGGGCGCGTTTCGCTCGACTTAATCAGACTATTTTATAAAGCTATCTGAAAAAAGAGGCTTTTGTTGTATTTTAACGACTCTAAACAATGAAAAATACCTACAGCGCACAAGTTGAATTTCCATTTGGACTTGAAAAATGAATCATGTCGCTCCTTATGACAAGGAAAATATTTGACATGCCGCCCAACTGGCGACGCTTCACAGAAATGCTTTTTATTAGCGAAAATTCTCGACTGTTTTTGTTTTTTCATAATTAGGAAACATCAACTTAATCGAATTGCTTTGAACAGTTGCTATGAATAAATAAATAAAATATAATAAAACAAAAATCAAAAATATATACACACTAAAAA